TGGATCACCGAGCTAGAGTATTCCCCTTTACATATGTGATAAACAACAGTATTAGGGGAAGGCAACTTTTTTTGTTTTATCCCAAAACAACCCCTTCCTCTTTTTAGGGGTTGTGATCCATGTTTGGACGCTGACCCAAACATGGATCAAAATTTCGGCATGTTTGGATACGTTTGTAAGGCTCGTCTGTCGACGAAATTAATAGTTCCTTTTACCAACGTGTTCCTCTGACTATTCTGCTCACGGATTTATAACTTGCTCCCGCTTATTTGCATCATCGGGGTGGATATAGGGCCTGGAAAAGTGGCATTTCATTTAACTAGAAATTCGGCTTTTTCTATATATATCCTGACTAACCACGTGATATTGTCACTCTGATTCGTTTTAGAAATGTTCCTCGAAACCGGTTCTGTAAACTTAAAACATACGTTTTTGATAATATTGTATTTTCTTGATCAGTCACGGGATCGTGAGGGCGCTAAGAGTAGAAAGGGACCTAATATGTGCCCCAGGTTGCCTACCCGGACCTCTCGTAAGGCGCAATGGAAGATGTAAACGCTTGTAAAAATTTTCTATTACAAATTTGTGATGCTTGTTGGCATCAATCCCTTTATTTCGGCCATATTTTGCCGTGTGCAAAGTGGCATCACGCATGAACGATTTCTAATGACTGATTTTGAGGCGCAAACTAAAGAAGTTATTTGAGGAGGTTTGAAATTCTATGTTTTTACCCCTACCCGCATTTTAAAAATACTCACGGTAAAGGATCAAAATCTTTAGAGTTTTAAAAGGTATACCTTAAAACGTCTTCTCATCGAGTACCAAGTGATTCCACCGGTTAGTTTTCTTAAAAACAGGAAATAAGTAAAACCATGTATGTCGCCTTGTCTTTTAGCGCGCTTTGACGAGGTCTGTTGTGCACACTGTTTTTCGGCGCGCACCAGCGGGCAGGAGAGCGAGCAGACGATAAATTGCCACATACAAATTCTGTTGCATACAGAGATAGGGATTCGCGGGTCGTGGGACCGTTGACACAGGAGGGGAGACGCCTGGAGGGTAGGCCGCCCATAGAGATGGTGGGTAGGAAGGGTGGTCTACCTCCCAGGGGCGGGAGAGAGGGGAGCGCCCGCTCGGAGGTACCTTGTCAGGCTAGGTGGGTTCTGAGGTGAGAGGGGGGAAGGGGTGGGGGGGGAACGCACCTGGTGGAGTGGGGGTATGGAGCGCCCGCCCGCTTGGAGGTACCTGACAGGTAAGAGGGGGGATACGGAGTGCCGGCTACGTGTGAAGGTAGGGTTCCCCTCCCGTTGCGGTGTAAAGAGCTGATATGGATAAATGTCAACGCTGGTGGGTGCTCGCGGGTGGCCAGCGGGCAGTTGGTGACAGTTGTCGGCAAGAGACCCAGCAGGCAGCAAGTGAGCTACAGGTGAGAAGAGATCAGGAGTCACCGAGAAGAGGCGCTCATCAGAGAGAAAGTGGTAAGTAAGAAATTCAAGAGGGAGAGGAAGAGTAGCTGAAATAATGAGATAAGAGTAAAAGATAGTGTGTTTTTTCAGGAATAAGAGAGAGAGGGGGAGAGAGAGAGAGCGAGCAACAGTGAGAGGAAACAGCGAGTGAATTTGGAGAGAGAAAATAGAAGAAAATTATAAGGTAAGGAGAGAGGGAGAGAGAGAGAGAGAGAGAGAGAGAGAGAGGTGTAAAGTTGAATAGAGGATAAGAGAATTGTTGTTTTGTTTCAGAAGTGATCACGAAAATGTCACGAAAATGTGCATGGTGTGGGAAGGCCTTTGCTGATGGGGAACTGTTGCTGGCCCACATCGATCAGCAGCATGCCCCAGCGAGAGCGACATCACAGGGGGAAGAGCACAAGTGTGAACAGTGTGACAAGAGTCTTAAGACGAAGAGTGCATTAACAAGACATAGAAGTGAAGTGCACAGTGTAGTTAGGGAAAAGTGTGAAAAGTGTGAAAAGACATTTAAAAGTAAGAGAGCGCTTAGTGCTCATACAACGGAGCAGCATGGGGATAGAGAGAGGTTTAAGTGTGATAAGTGTGGTGCAGACTTCACGCGGGTGTATGAACTGAATCTACATCAGAAGCGGCGGTGTGGGTCAGTGCTATCCGCCCGTGTTCAGAGGAGAAAGGGAGTTATCACTCGTCACTGCAGCAAGTGTCAGCGGAGCTTCGACAGCAGTTTGGAGGCAATCCGTCACAGGAGACTCTCTCATCCCGTGCAACGAAAAAGGTTGGTGTGTGTGTATTGTAAGCGGGTGTTTTACTCTGTGGGGTCACGCGCCCGACATGTGCTCCTGTGTGCGGAGAGAAAGAAGAGACGGGAGCGCTATGTAGAGCGTGTAGCGGCGAGGAGTAGTGGAGAGGTAGCCTGGGAGACTCAGAAGGCAGTGGAAGGGAATGCAAGAATCCACTCTCTAAATGTCCTTGCAAAAAATGACCTCCAGATGGCCATGTTAGAAAGTAAATATAAT